ACAGTCTGTGCAACCTCTGGTTGAAGACGGTGTCAATTGTCTTATCAACTCTGATGAAAATTGCATGGAGATTTTGTGAATACAGGAAATACAATCCGGAAGAGAAATCATAGAAAATTATTCTGATGAAATTTAAGGAATATGCTGATACGAATCGTGAGAATAATTTCAATGGAATTCTGTCCTATAAAGATTAATTTTAAGACATTTCAACGGAATAATTAAATAATTAGAAAATACTGAAGAGAATTTCAAAACAATTTTTAACTACCACGCAGTATAAAGGAAATCATCGGATGAATCTGAGAAGAGCGTGACGGTCATTCTGAAGAGTGTACCAAGGAAATTATTGTGATTTTTTTTTTTCAGAAATTCATAGAGAAAAATAGACACAAAATTGTGCAAATTCATGGGAATTATTACCAGTTTGAGGGAATTGTGGAATTGGAGAGTGATGCTAAGAACTCTTTGAATGTTACTGTAAAAGTTTGGATATTATCAAGATTATTGTAGAGGCATATAGAAAAGATATAATATGGAATTCTAGGATGATTCAAATGGAACTAAAAAAGGGTGAAAATATCCTGTGAAGAGTTCCAGCAATGCTAACAAGTTATTTCCTTTGTATAATTTATTCAAACATGTAATTCATAACCATTCTAGTACTTTAAATAAATTCCAGGTTATCATACTGCTGATGTCTGTTCTGAGTAACTCTAAGACTAGTAGGTCCCGAAGAAACGTGCCCAATCCACTAACCCCTCATTTCATCTGTAAAACTTTCATAGCGAATCTAAACAAACATAATGTAGTAGTACAATTTCGACTGGAATGGGGTACGTGAATCGATTTGGTTGGGACCAATTGGCCAGTCAAGTAGTGAGCCAATTTAAAATCGTTAGTTTTCATTACCAACCGGTGGTAGTATTAGTTAGCAAAATCAACACAAAACACAACGATAAGCGTTAATTCAACCAAGTTATAAAGAAAACAACAAATTGATGATTGCCGTTAGGCCCATAGGTCCCATTAGGAACGATAGAACTTTCATATGATACCGTAGGTGCAAACTAATTCTTTAACTTTGTCTGTATTTCAACCATCTGTAATCAGTAATCTTTTCCATAAACCATTACGGTGATGAGCTAGAACGATGAGAATAAAAAGTTCAGCTTTCCCGTAGTTATTCCCATATATAATTTCAAATGGCCAGTGCAGCATGAATTTGCATTCAAATGAGCTCAAAACTTTGGATAATTATAAGGATCATTTGTGCTGAGCACCAATGCTACTGACGCCAGGGAGGCAGTTCCCACACCTGGATCCTTCCTATCGACCCATCAACTCATGAACCGGGCAACGGCTATACTTCCCTTCCGAAGGCGTGATCAGAGATGTTATGCCTCAGAACATCCCGGCGGCGCCGACTGGGATTGAACCCAGGCCTGCTGGGGTGAAATGTAATCACGCTTACCACTACACCACCGGCGCGGCGCCGCTAATTATAAGGATCTGATTTGAAATCGATTGAGCTTGGTGAAGCCACGTTAATACACTGGAACCTCCATTTACGAACCAAACCGGGGGTTCGTAGATCGAATTAGGGGCTGTTCATAAGCTACATAGACAGTTTTTTGGGATTATTGACCTCCCCTCCCCCTGTGTAGACAATTGTCCATTTTAAAATTTGTATGGGTCGTGGATAATTGACAACCCCCCCCCCCTCCTAAACTGTCTACGTAGTTTATGAACAGCCCCTTAGTTCGTAAAAAAACTCGTTACTTGGGATTTACTTCGTAAGAAGAAGTTTTTGAAAAAATGGTCGATGACCTCACAGTATTGGTATTTTTGGAAACGGAGTGGCATATAGGAGCCGGTAATCTATGTCTGGCGCCATTTTGAAATTCAAGATGGTCGCATCCAGTTACAGAAAAACTTGTAAATTCTGCCTAATATTCCAAGATATGGTCATTTTTGAAATTAAGGAGACGTGTAGTGACCGGAAATCGATGTCTGACGCCATTTTTAAATCCAAGATGGCGGCTTCCGGTTACAGCAAATAAGAAAAATACTTTTAAATACTCAACAATATGCGTATTTTTGGGATCGGGGTGACGTGTGAGAACCAGAAATCCATGTTCGACCTCATTTTGAAACCCATGATGGCGGCATCAGGTTTGAGAAATACTACGAAATACTGTCCAATACTACACAATGTGGGTAGTTTTTTTAATCTGGGTGACATCCAACCACCATTTTGTATCAAAATGGAGTAAGGCGTCGATTTCCGGTTCCTTCTTGTAAATCCGATTCAAAAATATCCATATTGTGGGGTATTTGACAGAATTTTCAAGCTTTTCTCTGACCGGAAGCGGTTATCCTGGATTTAAAAATGGCATCAGGCATCAATTTTCGGTCCCTAAAAGTCACTTCGATTCCAAAAATACCCATATTGTGGGGAATTTGACGGAGTTTCTAAGTTTTTCTGTAACCGGAAGCCGCCATCTAGCATTTAAAAATAGCATCAACAGAAGGCCCCTACACGCCATTTCACTTCCAAAATATTCATATTGTGGAGTAGTTGACAGAATTTCCAAGTTGTTCTATAACCGGAAGAAGCCATCTTGTACATCAAAATGGTGACAGACATGAATTTCCGGTCCCTACACGTCAATCCGATTTTTAAAAAACCCATATTGTGGGGTATTTGACAGTATTTCTGTAACCGGGAACGTAAATTGAATACTGCGTAAAAAAAAAGACTTCGTAAACGGAGGTTTCAGTGAAACCACAAACGAAGTGACAGACGAAAAGGCTCGAAAACTTTGGTGACGAACCTGCGATTGCAATTTTTCAGTGTACCACATGGCAACACTACTACTGGATTCATAGAGGTAACTATAAGACTAGAAGGTCCCGAAATAGCGTGCTCAACTTTTTGGCTCAGCTCTGGTACTGTCTTCGGTCCCAAGCTAATCGATTCACCCTTCGAAACATAGGAAAATCCACAAACCTCTCATTTTATCTGTCAAACTTTCATAGTGAATCAAAACAAACATTGTGTAGAAGTAGAATTTCGACTAGAAGGGGGTACGTTAGCTACCTTGATGATGCTATGTAGGAGGTTCAAAATATCCAGAGATTAAAAACTGGACAGTCGATCAGCGGCTTTGTAATTTTTTTTTAAATATTAGCTTTTTGGCATTGATGTTTAACGGGTGTTCAATAAAAAAATGAGATTTTTTTCAGTCATGAAGCTAGTAAAAAACAAATTTCAACGAATCCAGCATTTTTTATTAAAAACAAAATGTTTATTCTACAAAAAAAACCCGTCAATGAATATTGGAGAAGCGGTCCTGGTCAACCGTACGACGCAAATTAGTCGCGATGCTCTCACAAGAGCGCTGGACGGCACTGAAATCATTGTCATTTTTATTGAACACCCGTTATATATAAAAATAATCTCAAAAGATTGTAATTGTGTTATATTTGTTTTCCAAAAGTAAAAGAGCATCCAATTGCACTTTTCATACGCAAACTTTATTGTTATTATTTAAATCTCAAAAATTAAATTCCAACCGCCATCTCAATACTTCTCACGCTTTCCTCGCGAAGCGCTCGTGTTTATTTACATTGCTCGATTGGAACCGTGTTTGACGGTTCGATTGAAACTTTTGGCTTCAGTCTTCGCCCGTCTCTTATTAAACATCGTCTCTGCTGAAAACATTGTGCCAAACTTTTAGCTTGTTCTGTCATTTGTAACTTTTGTTGATTGCTGGAACTATTTAATGCCATCGTTCCGCAACAGCTCTGTCCGTTATCAGATAGGATTAGTGGGGCCATTCACTATTCCAATGACTCGTATTCCGTTATCTCAACGATGACGGTGTTGTTTTGGTGCATTCTCTCAATCAATTCGTTCCACGCCAAATGACGAATCGGAAAAAAATTGACCTTCTCCGATTTGCATGAAACTTTGCATAATTGTGTGTTAGGGGCAATTATTCACATCTTTTTTACAAAAAATCAGCCATTTTGGTTTTTTTTTTCAAAATGGCGTCTTTGTCATTTTTCAATAAATTGTTGCAAGAAAAGGTCACTTCTGATCGAAATGACGTCTGAGACAAAGTTGTTGAGAAAAATTAAGTCTTTCTGAGAAAAAAAAACCTGCATGGTAATTTTATAGCATTTTTGTATAGAAATTATAGAAAAAAAAGTGTTGAAAACTCCAATATTTCAAGAAGCATATCTTCAATTATTAAAATTTAAAAATAAATGCTCATAAAAAATGAAAACCTCTGCAAAATTTAAAATCATGGACACTTGAACATTGACAAAAATCGATGAACAAGAACTTTTGATCAGATATTTGAACTATTTACTAGTACGCTTTGTTGTGTAATTATACACAGGAAACAATAGTTGAGACCCCGTATCTGTGCAAAAATTACATAAACAAGCTTGTTAACAAGAAGTTTAACAATATGGCCAACCGATTTTGTAAATTTAAAAGTCTCAATGGTTTTAAATACTCAAAAAAATTGCATTTTTCATGAGATTTATTTAAAAAATATATACATATATTGAAAATATTGAGATATTTCAGTTTGCATACTTTTTATTAAATTTTTACTAAAAGGTATTAAAACCAATTACCGTGTATATTTTTTCCAGAATTTCTTTACTTTTTTACACAACTTTGTCTCAGACGTCACTTCAATTAGAAGATACGTTTTGGCTACAATTTATTGAAAAATGACAAAGATGCCATTTTGAAAATACAAGATCCAAAATGGCCAATTTAATGCAAAAATGTGAATCATTGCTCATAACACATAATTATGCAATGCTCCTTGCAAATCGGAGAAGGTCGAGTCTTAAATTTATATTGCTTATCCTATTCGGCCTGGAACAGATCAATTGAGAGTAGTTCGACTATCAGCGCAAAAAAAAAGAAAATATCTTCATTGCTAAGTGTGTTCACGAGTGGGAAGGTTCAAGCTATCAATTATGCAGAGCGAGCAGCCTCATTATCGGAAGCAGTACCTTGCCGCTGTGATAGGTGCGTTTAGTTTGTGATTTTTTCAAGTATGTGGTCCCGTAATCAGACTCGTACTTGCAGCAACGCTGGGAGCGTTTTCGATTGGAACTATCTTCGGATGGAGTTCCCCGGTGGAGCTCGGGTTGGTGAAAAATAGTGAAGCGGGATTCGACATTCGAGAGTCTCAATTTGCATGGATTGTTTCGTTGATGGGTCTCGGTGGCGCCGCCATAAGTCTACCCATAGGTCTGATTGTGCCAACCTTCGGTGCCAGGAATACACTGCTGATGTCTGTTCTGCCAACGGTGCTTGGTGCGATTATGCAACGGGATTTGCCGAGAGTCATAAATTCATAACTATATTCCGGGCAATCATTTCAGGTTGGATTTGCATCATATGGGCGAACAATGTGGTAATGATGCTGGTGGGCCGTTTGTTGACCGGCTTTGGAGCGGGTGCATTCTGTATGGTCGTCCCGATCTACATAGGGGAAATGGCATCCAAAGAGATCCGTGGCACCGTAGGTAGCTTCTTTCAGCAGATGATTAATTTAGGCTTAGTCTCTACGTATGCCCTGGGACTGCGGCTGGATGTATTCTGGCTCAGCGTTGCCTGTGGACTCGTCCCGGTGTTGTATGGAGTGCTATTTTTCTTCATGCCAAATACGCCAACATTTTTGGTAAGCTTCATCGTTTTAAATTGGATCTTATTTCAGGATTTCAAGATGAAACAGCCTCGAATATTTAGTTGTTTGTTTGTTCCTATATTTCCATCCAACGTTTTTGTCCGTCAGGTTCACCGAAAGCAAGAGTCTGAGGCCATCGCTGCAATACACTGGTTACGAGGATCGCATTTTGATGCAAGCTTGGAAATCAACGATATCCAAAGTCAGCGGCATCAGCTCATGGCAGTCGGTGACGATGGTTTTTCCCACAATAAAATGTCCGTTTGGAAGTCCTTTCGTCAACCAGCGACTGTTCGAGCTCTGGTCATCATGCTGGGAATAATGTTCTTCATGCAGGCTTCCGGTGTTAATGCAGTGCTGTTCTACTCCACCTCGATTTTCCAGGTATGTACTTATAAGGTTTGCTTGTGAAGAAGCAGAATTATTTATTTCGATAATCTTGTCTGAATCCAGTACCGCGATGGTGTCACCTATGCGTGCACGTAATTGCAAATTTCCACTAACGAACGAATCCTCTACGTTTCCAATAACTACCACGGTGCTCAACGAAATAGGAGGCCAACGTTGCTGGTGAACCGGAACTGGCAACCATCATTATGGGAGGCATGCAAGTGTTTGGAACCCTCCTGTCCTCGCTGGTGGTGGATCGCCTAGGTCGACGAGTTCTCCTACTGACATCGGGCAGCGTCATGTGCGTCAGTGTGCTTACGCTAGGAGTCTACCAACTGCTGCTCTCCGATGACTCAAGCCAGGTGGCCTCCCGTGCCGGGTGGCTTCCCATCGCAGCACTGTGCCTCTATGTGACGCTTTTCTCTGTCGGATTTGGACCCGTGCCGTGGCTTATGTTGGGCGAAATATTCGCATCGGACGTAAAAGGACCGGCCAGTGCTTTGGCAAACATGACTAGCTTTGCCATGTCGTTCGTCCTGTCGTTGCTGTTCCCCTTGGCTCGGCAGTCGATCGGCAATGGAGCAACGTTTATTATTTTCTCCGGTTTTAGCGCTCTGTCAGTGGTATTTGTAGCGTTTGTTGTGCCGGAAACGAAAGGTAAGTCTTTGAATGAAATACAACGCATGCTGGCAGACAGCGGCATCGGAATAACCTGCCGGGGCAATAAATAAAGACTCGAAAATGACATTGTGTTTGTTGAACTGTTTGAGAACGAAAACATATCTTTATCGATACAAGATTGTTGGAATGGTTTTAAAGCTAGATGTATGTTTTTTTTTCAAGTCCAGTTAATACAATTTTAATCTCATTAAAGATTTGAATGGAAAGGTATGATATTGCTTGAACTACTAGTTTAAAGCAATATTGGGCCAAGGTTTCAAAACCACCAAACTACGTTCGGAGTGTAGCTTGATCCGTCGGGTAGGTTGAGTGCTTCGGGTGGGATATCACTCTCCCTAGTTCTGAGAATCACAGTCGTTGGTCGTCATCAGTCGCTAGCTGTACTCATAAAAATCATTTCTTCTACACTCAACTTAGCTGAAAATGTAGACAACCTCAATAGATCGACCGATTACCTGCATTCATTTGGAGGATCAATAATTGGGAAGACTTCCTCTACCCGATGGTGTTGTCGATTTGCTTTGGCGAGCCTTAACTTTCTAGAAATCATCGAAAGATGTCATTGTTTACAAAAGCTGTAACGCCCTAATTCCAGCTATATCTAGTAATTGCAAAATGATTATTTTCATTTTATACAAATAGGGGAAATGACTCTAATTTATTCATTTATTTATATATTTATTTATTTGTAATTCATCTGACATATGTGGTCTTAATGAATATGGGAATACATTTTCAAAACAGCTACAAAATTAACAAACTAGTAATTCTATTTTTAAAACGACCAGAAGTTTCGCCGAACTCAAAGAGATCCTCCACCACCGAAAAAGCTCGAATCATCGACGATATTGGTTCATTATATTCAAACAAAGTACGGTGAAATCTGTCCTGTAGTAGTGACCGCTGCCGAAGAGGACGTTGAGCAGCACGGAAGTCCAACATAGAAAGTAGCCGGGGAAAATCGACTTCACCATTTAGAAACTCCGCCACGAATGTCACCTGTTGTAGTCTTCGCCTTCTTTCAAGGGTGTCCATTAGACTGATGCAAAATTTGACTTTTTTGCTCCACAGTTCATCGTCTTCTAGTGTTTTTCCATATTGAGCTGTGAAACAGTTCGATAGCCATGCTTATAGAAAATTTTCTAAGCTACAACTTTGCTGAAAATCGTTTCTATGTAAAACGAGACAGGAAAAAGTTATTAATTATTTAAGAGATTGGTAAACTTATGACATGATCAAGCAGCTGCTCTGTAGGCAAAAAAAGTTGCAGTGTGACATAGTAGCCATGATTTTTGTGTCCTATTCAACGCCACAGAAACACCAATGTTGCCTGCTGAGCAGTTGATTGAGCATGATCATAAGACATCAGCGCATTGAACCATTGATAACTTTTGATCCTTACATTTAATCAAAAAGTGATCTTCAGAAAAGTTGTAGCTGGGAAAATTTTCTGCAAGTACAGTTGAAAGTTTTTGACAAAGACCGATATGGTGAATTATTAAATATAAATGAACAAAAATCTTGGTTTTACCATAGTAATTCCCATACAAACTTCAAATCGTTTGTGCCATCTCAGTTTCTCACCAAATGGGTTCAAATTTTGAGAGGTTAGTCAGGATCCGATTTGGAATCGTTTAAGTATTGTGGACCGAAAATTTCAAATTTTGCATCACTCTAGTGTCCATGCCCAACAGTCTACATCGATCGGGATAGGCAGGGAGATTCAACAGATCGCGCCAAGGTAGATGACGTAGTGCTAGCCGGATGAATCGTCGCTGGACACGTTCAATCCTTAAGGTCCAGGAAACTTCATTTGGAGTCCAAACAACAGAAGCGGTTTCGAGAATTGGCCGTACCAGCGCGCAATACAAGGATTTCAAGCAATATGGATCCGTAAAATCCTTTGCAATTTTCGAAATAAAGCCCAACTGTCGATTCGCCTTGGCAATTATCGAAGTCTAGTGAGAATTGAACGTCAGTTTTGGATCCAGCACAACTCCGAGATCAGTAATCACTTCAACTCGTTTAAGTGAAGTACCCTTGATGCGATAATCGAACAATATCGGTTGTTTTGAACGATGAAAGGTCATAACAGAGCACTTCGGTACGCTAATAATTAACTTGTTCCGATGGCACCAGTCAGAAAATAGGTCTAGAAGATGTTGCAAACGGTGGCAATCTTCAGTTGAGCGAATAACCAAATATATTTTCAGGTCATCGGCGTAGATGATCACGCAGTCCAAGCCTAATTTCGAAGCAACGTCGTTGAAAAACAGTGTGAACAATAATGGTCCCAAGTTGCTTCCTTGGGGAACACCGGATGTATTGCAGAAGGTCGAAGAAACACAGGAGTCAAATTTAACGCGGAGTTTCCTTCCCGTTAGGTAAGAGTTCAGCCAAGACACTAGCTTAGAGCATGATCCGAGACGTGACAGTTTGGCCAACAGCACATTGTGATCGATCTTGTCGAAAGCCGCCTTCAACTTGAACCTTGCTTTTCATAGCAGTTATGCAAGTGTTGGTGAAGCTTAGTAGATTCGTCGTGACCGATCTTCCAGGCATAAAACCGTGTTGAATGGTAGAAATATAGCTGTGCGACTGGCGTAGAATCATATCGCTGACAATTATTTCAAACAGCTTTGACGCAGCTGATAAGCTCGTTATTCCTCTGTAGTTCCTGACGTTTTTCTTGTCACCATTTTTGAAGACGGGAAACATAAATGACTGCTTCCATACCTCAGGAAAAACCCCTTCATCGAGTGACCGGGTGAAAATTGCAGACAGTGGCTCAGCTAAGTCAACAGCACAGCGGCAAAACAAAATTGATGGTATACCGTCGGGACCAGCAGAAAGCAAACTTTTCAACTTTTTGGCAGCAGATATGATCATTGGAGGAGTAACTACGAATGTCGACAGACTAATGAAGTCCATGGGAATGTCTAAAGCAGCAGACTCAGCTTCGATTTCAGAGGCAGGAGTTTGGTCAAACACAGAAAATTTCGCTTCGACGTCGTCAAAAATCACGTTGATCGGTACAGATGAACTTTTCCGCTTACTATTGACGAACTTCCAAAAGCTTTTTGGATTTCTCCGAAGATTAGTCAGCACTCTCATGACATGAGCCTTGTACAAAGCTGAATTCAAATTGCGATACGCCTTACTAGCACGTTGGAATCCAAGCTTGCTGTCAGACGACTGTAGAGCACGATGCTTACGTTGTTTGGCATTTTTCTCACGTTTCAACTTTCGCAGCAGTGGCGTACTCCAGGCAGGCGAAAATGGACGTCTAGTGGGTGGAACATTCCTCTGCAACCACTGTTGAATAATAGAGCAGAAGTTTGAAGCCATTTCATTAACATCCTCACAATTCAGACAAGCCCAGTCAATCGTAGAAAGGTACTCTCGAAGCATGCCGTAGTCAATCTTGCCAAAATCAAGAGTAGGCTCACAGTCAGCATGGTGCGGATCATCAATCTGGCACCTGGCTTGAACGGGAAGGATGGTGCAAATCTATAGGCAACAGTGCAACAGCAGCCTCATTTACGGTTACCCCACAGTTGGTCGAACAAAACACTAGATCAAGCGTTCGATCAGAATGGTTACGAATCCAGTTAGCTTGATACAAATTCAAAAAATCCATCAATCAAAGCAGCACTTACTGGAGGTACAGTTGCCGTTGCAGCCAGAAACACTTCGCCGTCTGCATTCTGCAACCACTGTAGGCGGGGCTGGTTGTAATCACCACATATCAGCACCTGGTCATCAAACGAAGCGCTGTCACACAGTTCACGCACGGAGGCCACATGTTCATCTATCAGCTCTGCATCACGGCTACGGTCAGGAGGGATGTACACAGCAACCAATCAGTAATCGATTACGACCAATAACAGCATCACCGTGGTTCACCGTGGCGCGTCTGAACTTGAATACAACGGTAACGGTGATGGACTGCAATCAGTACACCTCCGAAGCTCGGTTTATCACTATTCCTGCGGCAGCGATCACAGCGAAATACGGTGAACGATGATCCGAAAATTTGAAGAGAATCGATGCAGTCATTTGATCCAGTCTCTGTCAGTATGATGATGCCGTAATTGCGCTCCATAACAGCCAAAAGCAAGTCGTAAATTTTAGTCCTAACACCTCGGACGTTCTGGTAGTAAAGCCAAACACGATCGACTGGGGATACACCAGGCTGCAACATAAAACGGTTGAATGTCTGAGGAGACGAATTTACAAAACAATACTCGCCTGTGATGGGAACCCTAGGGTTTCAACCGTCCGCAGTACAGAGCTCCAAATTGGTGTTCGATCGTTGTTCACTGGCTAGTTCAAAGTTTGGCGAGAGTTTTTTTGGCTGGTCCACAATTTCCCTAATGTAGGCCTATGGATCTAAGATTGGGTCCATCGCTAAAAATATGCTATTTATCAATCTTATCTAGATGAACGCGTCATTGAGACGGTACTAATGGATATTTTTGGTCACCATTGAAAATTTAGTCGATTGCTGAATTTATGTATGGGCCCAAATTAGGGGCATTACACCCATTTCTCCTACATCGCTGACGAAAGTGTTGTGTTGATTGTTACACACAGATCGATAGAAAATTATTGCCTCATGCTGAATTGATGATAATATCGAGGTTTTAGAAACTGGAGTTGACAATATTCAAAATATCCACACCTTCAGAGCATAAGACACCAGAATCATAAATAAATTGCGTTCCTTACATTTAATCGAAAAGCCTTTGGCAAGGTTGTACCTGTAAAAATTTCCAATATGCATACCCAAGTAACATTTAAAGTTTTATGAAAGCAGTTCTTGTTGTTCGCTCTAAGAAAGTTGGGTTGGACGAGTTTTCCACTTCCATCTTATGAATCGCGTTGTATGCTAATTAATTTAGATGAGCTCAAAAAGCGAAGAGAGTTCGCAATGATTGCTTTTATAAACGATGTGATTTCGCAAAGAGTTAACAGTCCAGAGATTTTGGAAAATATCAATTTTTATGCTCCCACTCGCTCACTGCGGAATAGAAATTTGTTTAGCATC